TGACCAGTGCCTCCTGGACTTTGGCAGGTGCAGCTGGTCCAGGACCCAGCAACTGGAGGGACCTTCGTGGTGAAGGCAGGTGCCACCCAGCCCCTGCCATTATGCATTCCCTTGGGACTTTCTCTGAGCTCTTGGAAATCTCTACCCAGAACCTGCATCTGAAGCCTATGTCCCCTCCAAGTCCAAAAGCTGAGTGCTCTGCCTCAGAGGATGACCCCTGCCTTCCAGATAGACATACACACAGCCACATCCTTGGCCAGAGGGTGGAGGACCTGGGTTCTGAGGGGAAAGCAGAGGTGAAGGCCAGGTCAGGAACTGGGGGAGGCAGCTGCTCCTCAGGGTGGCTCCTACCCACCATCTAGATGTCCCTGAAACCACAGCCAGGATATTCCCTAATAGTCTCTGCCCTGTTCCCTCCCAGAGCCTTCCCCGGTGCCACGTGGCGAGCCGGGAGCGGCTGACCATCATCCCACATGGCATCCCCTACATGGCCAAGCTGCTGCGCTACTTTGTGAGCGAGGACTCCATCTTCCTGCACCTGGAGCACGTGCAAGGTGAGGGGGCCTGAGGGGCCCCTGCCAGTTCCTTTTGAGTATGGTCACCACCTATCCCCTTAATGCTGAGCCTTGGGGAGGGATGTAGCTTGCAGCAGAAATACAGCAGAGACCAGGGGACCCAGCCTTTCTGGAGGCTGACGGCAGATTAGGTTGCTGTGAGCCTCTGTGTCTGCTAAGGGGAAGGCCACATCCTGGGCAGGATGTCCACATCTAGGTGGGCCTGAGGGCATTTATGCAGCTGTCTGTGTCACCTGTCTCTGTCTCCAGTCTTGGCTCTTTTCATTTTTCTGGGCTGTACCCATCCCTCAGGATATCCCCCACATGGGATAGCGTGACTGAAGCTACAAACACAGGAACTGCATCTATAGCAGATATTGATTATACTGATAAATTTTAGAAAATGAGGTACACATCCTTGGGTCATGACATATAGTCATCACAGGTCTGTTCCCGGCTTTTAAATTTCTTTATACCAGTCTCCTTAAAAAATGTATAATATGTTGAACACTGGTAAACCCTTCACCCAAACCAAGGACATTGATAATACTTTACAGCTACTTGAGGTTAAGCATCTGTGGTGTGTCAGGTCTTGGGTGGAGGGGAGGAGAGGAACATTCCAGGCTGAAGGAGTGGAAGTGAAGGCAGAGGGTCTATGCCTAAGATAGAGGGGAGGCAAGACTGGGACAGGGATCTGGCATCCGAGCTCTTCTTCTCCCCATCCCCATACTCACCGTTCCCTCTGCATGGCCCAGGAGGCACTCTCTGGTCCCACCTGCTCTCCCAGGCGCACCACGGATATTCTGGGCTCAGGTCTGGCTCCACCCAGGAAAGGATGAAATTTCAGCTCAACTCCCACCTCAGCCTTCTGACTCCCGCACGGCTCCCCCTGGGCCAAACCCCCAGGCAGGACAGAATCTACCTGGAGCCTCCATGGACTTTTCAGAGCCTGCCCGCAGCCAAGGAGGCCCCATCCATCAGACCCCAGAGAGAAGCTAAAGGTGAACCGACAGCCAGGACCAGCACTTCTTGCTCCTTGGGACTTCCAAAGGCCTCTCATGGTCACCTGCACCTTCAAGCCAGGCGGGCAGGCCAAAGCTCAGACCCTAAGCCCCCTTGGGGGCTTTCTTGGGTTCGTGAGGGAGCCGACCGGGTACTGGGAGGCTGTGGTCAAGGCAGGATTCAGAGCCACCTGTCAATGTCAGTGGATGGGGCCAGCGAGGGGTGTGGCAGGACTGCCTGGAAGGTGAGGGAGGAGCAGGTGAAGCAGTGGGCAGCTGAGATGCTGGTGGCTCTGGAGGCATTGCACGAGCAGGGGGTGCTGTGCCAGGACCTCAACCCCCGGAACCTGCTCCTGGACAAGGCAGGTAGGTGCCCTGCCCTACCACTCAAGTGGGACACCCTTAATGCCTCCAGAAAGGGAATGAGAGCTCCCCAAAGCCAAGGGATCCTTAAGGTTGTCTGCTTCTCCCGCCCCCATCTGGCCTTTCACATGGGACTCTATGCCTGAGCCTACTGTCCAAGGCAGAGCTTGAAAACTAGCCCTTTCTCCCTGAGCCCAGGGCAGCAGCTCCTAGGAGTACCCCATGGTCTCTGGCCCTCAGGGGGCCATGCCCAGAGGAAACTCTGCCCACCACACCATTGGCTCCTGCTGGGAAAGCCCTGGGACCCCCTTACCCATGCCAGCTGCTCAGTGGTGGCCACCCTCAAATTTTTGTCCCACTTATTCCTCCCTATATACTGGATGAGAAGGTCACATCCGGCTTACGTATTTTGGCCAGTGGTCAGAAGTGGAGCCCCAGTGCTGCAGGGAGGCTGTGGACAACCTGTACAGTGCCCCAGGCAAGAAGCAAGGAGGGTCAGGGTGGCCCTGGATCTTGGGTGCCTTTGGGTGGGTTGAGCCTGGGGCCTGGGGATGACAGAGGGAGTGGGTGGTGTCTGGGTAGGATGAGAATAGAGAGGACCCTCTTGGGTAAGGCTGGGATGTGTGTGTTCTTGTTCTGCAGAGGTGGGTGGCATTTCTGAGCTGACTGAGGCCTGTGACTGGTGGAGCTTTGGGTCTCTACTATATGAACTGCTGACAGGAACGGTGAGTAGCTGGAGCAGGTGTAGAGCCCTGGTGGGTGCTACTGACTGGGGGATGGGCAGGGCTCAGGCTATCCAACCAGTGTCTGGGTAGAGGCTGCCTGGTTCTCTAAGACCTGGCCATTGGGCTGGGTGCCCTTCCAGCACAGCCATCCCCTGACCATGGATATACTTAGCGCCCCCACCATGGTAGTGGCTATAGCTAATGAGACTATCAACTTAGATGAGTGAGCTGAGTTGGGGTGGTCAAGGAAGGTTTCTAGGAGAGCCTGGGTCTAGGTTTGAAGGGAGTGTAAAATTTGACACAACTCTTCTTCCCTGGGAGGCTGCTGGATCCTTCCCTGGACCTCCTCTCCCCACTGCTCACTCTTCTGACCCACAACCTGTGGGGCTGTAACCCCTAGACCTTAGCTGCAGAACAGGAGATATGGACTGTTCTATCCAGGCCAGCAGCCACCCTGTCCAATGTGGGTCAACCCAGAACTCAGTTCCCCCCACCCCCACCCCGCACAGGATGATGGCCCTGCCATCTTCCCTGACTCTCTCCAGCACCCCCACAAGCTCAGTTCGCATATGAAACCATTTAAGTCAGGCAGCAAGGGAGTGCCACACTGCATTTGAGCAGGAAACAGCCAGAATGGGTGCAGTGTGACCTGAAGTCCAGATCTGGCCAGTCCTTCCGGGCTCCCTCCTGCTTTTGTCCCACAGCCCAGGGCTTCCGTAAATAACCCAGAGTGGCTCTCTGCTCCTGGTCTAGCACGACCCCTCCAGCCCAGTTTCTGGTCTTCCTGGGAGTTCCTTGAAGCTCATACTTACTTCCAGACTCTCCAAAGCTGCACCTTTCTGGGGTGTGGAGAGGTCCTACTCTCTTTTGGTGCCACACCCCTGTGTTGGCACTGATGATAGCATTCCATGGCCTGCTGTCCAGTGAGTAACTATGGAGATTTTTTTCTGTAAGGAGAAAAGTTCCAATGCTGCTCCCAATACAGTACCTGCCATAACTGAAACCTAGGATTGATGCTTCTAAGTTAAGGGCTGGACAGACCTGAGTTAAAACCCTGACCTCACCCAAGTTCCTTTGCCTGCGCCCGCTTCCCATCTTTGATGGCTAACAGGCCAAGTGCTTAGCAGCGTCTAGCATGAGATGCAAAGCACAAGGCAACGGTCATCATCATCCCCATGGGATGTGACAAGGGTGGGGTGGGGGTTCAGGGATACAGACTTTCTTGGGGATGTCTCTTCAGAGGCCCTTCCCTGTGTCTTCCCAGGCACTGTCCCAGAGCCACCCCTCAGGAATCCAGGCCCATACCCAGCTCCAGCTGCCAGAGTGGCTCAGTCGCCCAGCAGCCTCCTTGCTGACTGAGGTGAGATGGAGCCTGGCCTAGAGGAGGCAGCTGCTTGGCCTAAGGGTAGGGGGTCGGGGGGTGAACTGGGTGTAAACTATGTATATTTCATACTCAGTGTCTGATGTGGGTGCAGGAAGGGCATAGGAACAGGAAATTTCTATGTGGTGGTAGCCAAACACCACCATGTCCCCCATAGTAAAACTGGGTTGATTGGCTGGTAAGGAACAAGCCCCCTAGGAGCCAAGGTGATGGGTGGGTATCCCTGGAATGGAGAAGGCCTGCCCAGAGAGCTGACCAGGACTCCCTCTACAGTTGCTGCAGTTCGATCCGCACCGGCGCCTGGGTACTAGAGATGGCGGTGTCAACAAGCTCAAGTCCCACCCCTTTTTCAGAACTATCCAGTGGAGCAAACTGGTGGGGTAAGAGGGGCTGAACCAGTGATGGGAAGCAGCTGGTCTGGGTCTCCTCTCTTCTGTCACTCTAGAGAGGCTTTGATCAATGGGCTTCAGGTGAAGAATGTAGGCCAGCTGCCTTTCCTGCCCGGCTCCCCCTAGGCCTCAGGGGTGATTACTGCCATTGGCCAAGAAGGGCTACCTCCCCAAGAAATGGAGGAATGGCAGTGAGGCTCACCCTGCTCAGCAGCCCACACCTTCCACCTAGTCAACAGACACCTGTTGGGCACATGCCTTGTACCTTCAACATGGACCTACCACATTAAAGCGTGCCTTCTGTAGCGTTGGCTCTGAACTGCTGACCACCTGCTGAGCCTACCTGAGGTTTTGTGACTCACTGCCATGTTGTGCCCTATTTGGACCATCTCCAGAGACTAATCTCAGGATAGTGATCCACTGTTTCAGTGGCTCCAAACCAGGCTGTCCTGGCTGGTTATCTTAGTAATGCAACTAGTGGGCCCCTTCCACCAGAAGCTGTTCCACAGGGGGTGGAGAGGCTGGGAAGGAACCCCACTCCTGACTAGGGCCCCTGTCTTGTGATTTCAGACTTTGGACAGTAAAAAGAATGGTGGGGCGGGAACAGGAGAGGGCAGGCAGGGTAGGGGGAGGGAAAGCACAGCTCTGCTACTGAGAATAAGCTTGAAAACAGAATAAAGAATTCTTTTCCCCAGGTGGCCCACCCGTGTATGTGTGCGTGGGGGGCTCCTGCTCCGGGGGTCTGAGAGGACATAGCAATTCAGCCTAGGTTGAAGCAGCTAAGACTCATGCCCATTAGGATTCCCTTCTCAGGCTACTGTTCTGCTTACCATTCTGCACTTTAGTCTTGAGGTTCCATTAAATCACCACCCACTGTGACTTCATACCCTTTTGGAGTAAGAAACCACAAAACACATGGAACAGTTACCCACACTCTTAGCCAGAAGAAAGATGTTTCTGGCTCTTAAGAACTGGTGTGTGTGGCTAGGCACCTATGGCTCAAGTGGCTAAGGTGCCAGCCACATACACCTAAGTGACAGGCCTAATCCAGCCAGGGCCTGCCAAACAACAATGATAGCTGCAACCAAAAAAAAAAAAAAAAAAAGTAGCTGGGTGTTATGGCAGGAGCCTGTAGTCCCAGCTACTTGGGAGGCAGAGGCAGGAGAATTGCTTGAGCCCAGGAGGTAGAGGTTGCTGTGAGCTATGATACCAGGCACTCTACTCAGGGCAACAGCCTGAGGCTATGTCTCAAAAAAAAAAAGAACTGGTGTGAGTAGTTACCCTAATCTCCCCCAGTTTTGGGGGCTCCTCTCCAGTCTCACAAGGCAACGGTCATCATCACTCACTAGGCTGTGGCACCTGAGAAACTTCCACTACTGCCTCCAGATCCTTTCCTGCCAATCTGTCACCACCAGGTGGCACCTCTGACACGGTTCATCAGTCTGGCTCTGAAGGCCCAACTCTTAGCCTAGAGACTGGTACCCTGGGGATCACGCCTCAGGACAACTCTGGAGGCACACAGCACCAGAGAAAGCGCAGCCTTTGTGTGAGTCTTTGTGCTCCATGTCCTGGCTTTCCCTGTCCCCCCAGTATAGTTTGCTCTTGCCTGTAGCATCCCTGGTTCATTAATGTGATGAGCAGCCTATAGTTTAGGGCAGATTGGAAGGCTCCCCCAGAGAAGCTCCATCAAAGTCAAGAATGACCTTGGAGCCTGCTAGGAGGTTAGAAGCAGGACTGGAGGTGAGTGGCATTCCCACCCCCAACTCCTGCCCCTACAGAGTATCCCTAGGCTTCAGGAGAAGTGGCCGGCGGGGGATGGTACTGAGCTCTATGGAAAATAGGAAGTGGGGGATGGTACTGAGAAAATAGGAAGAGAAGCCTGGGAAGAGGGTCATGGTGCCTCAGGGGAATACTAGTATAATCCTCAAATTAACACCTTGATATAGACAAAGTTCCTAAGAAGAGTAAAGCTGTAAGAGCTTAAGATACAACCTAGTCACAGCCTGTGAGCAGATTCACAAGCTGGTGTTCCTTTAGGTATACTCCCCAAGTCAGGCCAGACTATGTCCCTCCTGGGTCTCATCCATCCAACACACACTGCACATCAGCACTGTTAGGCCCCGAGTTCAGAACCTGTGGTTTCAGCACTGATAGGGCTTAGAGTTGACTAACCTTTTGGAAAAAAAAAAAAAAAAAAGGGACAACATCTACTCTATAAGTTTACTAGAGAAATTAAAGCTTCTAACACCAAGCCCTGGACCTAACATGTAATTCTAAAGTTCCTACTTTCATCGAACCCAATTCTTTTCTCTACCTATAAGTTCTAGTTCTACCCTCTGAGACCCACTTCCTTCCCACAACAGACCTTCAGTGAGGGATGAGCAGTGAGTCAGTGGACAGCAACTATGTATGGAAAGCAACAGCTATGTTTCAACTGGAAAGCCATCTTGAATGTTACTTGGGAGTCAGTCTAGGTTAGCCACCAACCCTGTCCATTCACCCTCCCAGACCACTGCTCCTAGGGGACAATCTACCCTCATTTATTCAAACAGACTTTGAGTATCCTGATACACATGTAGCAGTCAAATCCAAATGAAATTATGAGATGCCCCACACCTCCCCAACCCATTCCAGAAATAAAGCAAGCCCTACCACCACAAAAATGCAAATATCTGCTGGTGTTTTAGAAGAGCTTCATAAAGGTGAGGACCCCAATTTCTCTTCAAGAGTACGGCTAATAGGCTCAAAGGGCTCACTGGAAGGAAGCAAGGGACTAAGACAATTATGCCTTCCTGACTGGCAATCAGGGTTCTACCTTTGTCAAATTAATACCTCAGTTAACTTCAAAAGAATGGGAGCTCAGAGCCTGTAGCACAGTGGTTATGGTGCCAGCCACATACAGAGGTTGGCGGTTTCGAACCCAGCATGGGCCAGCTAAAGGACAACAACTACAACCAAAAATGGCTGGGCAATGCAGTGGGCACCTGTAGTCCTAGCTACCTGGGAGGCTGAGGTAAGATAATCACTTAAGCCCAAGAGTTTGAGGTTGCTGTGAACTGTAATAACACAGTACTCTACCAAAGGCAACATAGTGAGACGCTGTCTCAAAAAAAAAAAAAAAAAGTATGAGATATCTCCAGATAAGGGATGGGACATTATGTGGCTTTCAATGTGCTAATGAAAACCATCTGGTGGCAGGAGCCCAGTGGCTCCTGCCTGCTATCCTGTTATCCTTCACCTCCAGGAGGTGAAGGTGAGTGGACTGCCTGAGCTCACAGGTTCAAGACCAGCCTGAGCAAGAGCAAGACCCCATCCCTAAAAAAATTTTTAAAACCTGATACAAGATTATTTGAGCCCAAGAGTTTGAAGTTACCATGAGCTATGAAGCCACAGCACTCTACCAAGGGTGACAAAGTAAGATTGTCTCAGCTCGGCGCCTGTGGCTCAAGTGGCTAAGGTGCCAGCCACCTAAGGTGGTGGGTTTGAATCCAACCCGGGCCTGCCAAAACAATGATGGCTGCAACCAAAAAAAAAAATAGCCAGGCATTGTGGCGAGTGCCTGTGGTCCCAGCTACTTGGGAGGCTGAGGCAGGAGACTCACTTGAGCCCAGGAGTTGGAGGTTGCTGTGAGCTGTGATGCCACAGCACTCTACCCAGGGGGACAGCTTGAGGCTCTGTCTCAAAAATAAAACAGTAAGACTCAAAACAAACAAAAAACCCCAACCATCTGGAACAACAGTGCTGGGGGACTTACAGAAGCTCAGTAACCAAAAGGAACACATATGCAGGAACCCTGTTTGAGAACATTTGCCCTTTAATTTGCATTTAAAACCAGTTTCTTTAAATATTTTAGTTACAAGTTCTGATAGTGAAGATATAGCAGATGCTGCAGGCACTCAGTATTGGCTTCCCCTTCCCCCCTCCCTCCACCCCAGGCCTTGCTTCTTGGCTCAAGATACAAAAGGGCACTCTACACTAACTAATGGCCCTAGTGTCAAGTGTCAGCAGCCTCAGGCCTGGATGCAGGTGGATACAAAGACATGAATCTCAGTAGCTTTCATAACAAGATTCTTGCATTTAACCATCCTCCAAGGAATTCCAATGATTGCGCCCAAACCTAAGGGCAGTGCCTTAGAGATGACTAAAGCCGTTTTACCACTGTGTACTAACACCTTGAGGCTGGTCTCTACCATAGTCCATCCTCCCCCAGACCTGTGCCCTGCAGAGGAAGAGCCAAGGCTCTGCTCCTTCGGGCTAGAACGCAGGAAGGAACAGAACCACCTCTTCAGTCTACTTGCTTATACCAATTTGAATTTAAAAGCTCAAGTCAACCTGAGCCAGTCCAAAGGAGGCCTCCCTCCCAAGTCTCTACCAGGATCCCTGTGCTCCATCCTACTGCCATGATGTGCTAGAATCTGTTCTAAGTGAGAACAATGTGCTAGAATGATTCTTAGCAGCCTGGAAAGGGTTTGGAAAGGGTTGGCACAACTGTAGCAATGTGTGATTGTGCCAAATGAACCTTTCTGGTGTGAACCTATGATGGAGAGTGAGGGCAGGCCTGGGCTCTGCTCCCATCTATGTTTACAACATATGACCTCATGGTACCTCTGCCCCTCCCCCGACTCAACATCCCTCCCTCGCCCACCCAGATCCCCTGGCCTGTGCTTCCTGGAAGAGGTAGAAGAGGCATCTTGAAGTCAGTGACAGCTGAGAATGAAGGTGCCGTTTAAGAAGCAAAGCAGCACCTCTTCACCTGTGTTCGATACCTCCACACAGGTGGAATCAAGTGAGAATGTGCACAGGCAGGGCAGGGGCTGCTGGGAGCTTGGGAGGCACAGCATCCTCCTAGGTGTCTCTGGAGAGCAGACAAAAGATAGAGACGTAACCACATGGTCCCTGGTGGTTTCTCTCTAGTATACTGGTACTGGGGAGAAGCAAACTCAACTTTGCAGAGTGCTGATTGAAGAAAGGCAGGAATATTAATGAGCATCCATT